AGAAGAACTGACTTATCTTATTTAAGGACATTTTCTGTATGTTGCACTTACCACTGCTGCTTTCACCTTTGGGAAAAAGCTTATTTTCATGACCGAATTCAGTTTCATTCTGATGACCATGTACTGTGGTTTAAATATTTTTGTCCCTTCCAAAACTAAGCTGAAACTTAATCCCCAACTTAACAGTGTTGGGAGGGGCAGCCTTTAAGAGGTGACGGAATCATGAGGGATCTATCCTCACCAATGTACAAAAGGTCTTGAGAAGATTTCATCTCTTTTTACCTTTCCATCCACTGGATACAGATTCATCCCCTCTAGAGGATGCAGCATCAAGGCACCATCTCAGAAGCAAAGAGTAACCCTCATCCAGACAACTGAGTGTTCTGATTCTCCATAACTGTGAGAAATAAATTTCTGCTCTTTATAATTCCCAGCCTCAGGCATTTTGCTACAGTAGCACAGAATGGATTAAGAAACCATGTGTCCTGCTCAAACTTCCTGATACTGAGGGAGGTGGAAAAGTGGATATAGGATAATAACTAGAAATCTCTGTCATAACTACCTTCTAACTGCTACTACTTTATAACAACCTGATATTCCAAACTCTCTTCTTAGTCCAGTTAAACATGAACTCTTCAAAACACTCCAGTCTACAATTGTCTGTCTTTTAAATTAAAGGTACTGTCAATTTGGCAGCTAATCTGATACTCACTTTATAATAGCTCATTAATGTGGTCTTAATGAGTAAAGCCTTGTTTTACTAATTGTCTAAGCTAGACTGAGGGAAGGACCTAAGACCTTCAAATCCTGTTTCCCAATTGCTATTGCTTGGCACACCGCCTGGCAAGAACAACAACTGAATGAATATGCTCTGTTTTACTTAATAGACTGATAGAACCAATCATTATTAGGGAATGATTACATTACTAGGGAGTGATTATATATCATGTGTTATAGTATATGGTATTATATTCTGTCTTGGTTATATACAGCAAGAGACAAAAGAAGACAATATGATAATAAAAATGTTAAATGTTGTGTCAGTCAATTTTCATCACTGTGCTCCAAATACCTAACAAGAACAACTTACAGGAGAAAAAGTTTATTTTGGTTTCAGAGCTTCAGTCTATGTTCAGTTGACTCTATCGCTCTGGGCCTATGGCAGAAAGTCACAGTAGAAGGCATAGAAAAGGAAAACTGCTCAGCTCATGGCAACTGGGAAGTAGAAAGAAAGTGAAGAGCCAGGAACAAGACATGATCCCTAAGTGTACTCCCCCTGTGATGGCCTTCCTTCAGCTATGCCACACTTGCATACAGTTACCACCATACAATCTATTTGAATTATTAATCCATCAAATGGATTAAGCCCCTGATGAGGTTTCACATAGCTCTCATGATCTAATCATTTCACCTCTGAACATTTCTGCATTAGGGATCATGCTTTTGAAACATGGGCTTTTCAAGGAACATTTCTAGATCCAAACTGTAACAAATTTCTATAACAATTTGTTAGAAATGTGGTGGGGATATTACTATGCATGTCGACTTGCATATTAGCTGGACAGATAAATCTTACAAAATACAGATACAGTCAAGTAAGATCATATTTGGGAAAACAATATCAATTTATAGACTTACTTCACCAATTCCCCAAATCCTAAAGATCAATATTGATATCTATCAACAATAGATGATGAAAGAATAATACGAGAAGGTAATACTCTTGAAATTTTTTTTTCTTCCTGTGGTGCTGAGGATTGAACCCAGGGCCTTGTGCATGTGAGGTAAGCACTCTACCAACTGAACTATGTCCTCAGCCCAATACTCTTGAATTTTGATGTCAAAACATTATATTTCCAAAAATTCTGAGGACTTTTAGATGTGGAAAAAGTTAGTGCTGTAATAAAAGAAGTATTAGGTCACACAATCTTTGAATTACTTTTCCTGAATGGCAGTGGGTCTGGGATAAGTAGAGTCTGTTGATCCTTTCTGTACTCTATGTCTAGCATTTTGGAATTGCCAAGTGTGTCATCTGTGGTCGGGGAGGTGCAGATGGAATTCAAACACATGGACTCGGTTTTAACACAATTAAATTCAGAGACTTATCTTACTGTCACATTTATGTGAAGAATTCATGGAGAAATATGCATGACTTTTGTGTCAAACATTAATACATCACGCTTTATATTCTCCTCACTTCATGAAATTCTTTAACAATTTTATAAGGTTAGTTTATCCAATCAATGAAAAAACTGTGGCTCAAGCGTTTAAATTATTCCTGGGCATATAGCTAGTGAGTAGCTGCCCAGACTTAATCCAAATTCTTTTATTCTTGGTTAATATTTTGTATTACATCACACTGGAGCTCATTTTCTGAATGAATCCTCAAAAGCACATTTTTAGTGAATGTTCTAAGTGAAAATAGGGTTTTTTATGGGCTGGGGATGTGGCTCAAGCGGTAACTCTCTCGCCTGGCATGCGTGTGGCCAGGGTTCGATCCTCAGCACCACATACAAACAAAGATGTTGTGTCCGCCAAAAACTAAAAAATAAATATTAAAAAAAAAAAAATTCTCTCTCTCTCTCTCTCTCTCTCTCTCTCTTTAAAAAAAAAAAAAAAAAAAAAAAAAAAAAGAAAATAGGGTTTTTTTGGGAAGGGGGTACTGAGATTGTTCCAAGGGGTGCTCTACCCCTAAGCTACATTCCCAGTCTTTAAAAAAATTTTTTTTTTTTTTTTTTTTTTTTTTGAGACAGTCTTTTTGAATTGCTGAGGCTGGCCTTAAACTTGTGATCCTCCTGCCTCAGCCTCCCAATGGCTGAGATCTTAGGCCTGTACTGTGGCATTCAGCAAGAATCAAGATTCTAAGTGGATTTTAATGAAGAATGCTACAGCTATATAAATATAACTAAAATCCTTTTACGTAAATGGGAAATCTGTTCCTACTTACTTAAAAAGAGGTATTTAATGCAAGACATAGTTGAAAAATTAAAAATTCCCCAGTTGAGAATTTCCAATTCAATTCTCTACAGAAAATGTCATGAACAATAGTAGTTAACAAATATGTTTGAGAGAAAGTTTGGATGTTAGGAAAAGGCTGTTAAAGATAAAAATAGTGGGGGCATCTACTTCATATTAGTTTTTCGTTTCTCGTGACAGAAGAAAATTCATTAAGTAGCTAATTTGATATGGCATTGAACAAATAGAATTACATAGTTTTGGTATATTATACATATATTATTATGTATACATGTATTACTATAAATACATGTATTATTACAAATACATATATTATTATGAATACAATTAGAGAGAAGGTAAGCCAAGAATATTAACATTTTTGCATTACACCTTTTCCAGGGCAGGAAAGGAAGTAGGAAATTATTATTTGGGGAAACAAATATTGTCTTGTTATCTCAAGGACAAGGAAATTTATTGGGTATATTAAACCAATTTTGGATTTTTGGATGTTGAGTGATTTGGTTTTCTATATTTTGGATAGGCTTCAGGTTTGCTACTTTCAGTCAGTGGAAGCAAATATACTAGTCAGGAAAAAAAGATTTAGGAATAAAAGATACTTTATTCATCTCTCTCTGGAATCCAATGTAGAACAGAATAGTAGTTATTTATCAAGTGCTTACTATGTGCCAACTACATGCTACTCATAGCATACCTTCTCTCTAATCTTTCAACAAATATGTGGAAAATAAGTCATACTATACCTATTTCAAAAGAGGACTTGAGTGCTTGGGTTGTGGCTCAATGGTAGAGAGCTTGCCTGGCAAGTATGGGGCCCTGGATTCAATCCTCAGTACCACATAAATAAATAAAGGTATTGTGTCCAACTTCAACAAAAAAATAAATATTAAAAAAAAAAAAAAAAAGAGGTCTTGAGCCAGGCACAGTGGCACACACCTGTAATCCCCACAGCTTGGGAAGCTGAGGAAGGAGGATCACAAGTTCAAAGCCAGCCTCAGCAACTTATCAGGGCCCTAAGCAACCCCGTGAGACCCTGTCTCAAAAAAAGGGGCTGGGGATATGGTTAAGTGGTTAAGTGCCCTTGGGTTCAAGGCAGGGCACACACCCACACACCCACAGTGGTGGCGGGAGTGGCAGGAGGAATTGAAGCTCCAAAAGGTTAATAACTAAGATGAAGCAGGAGAAGCTAGAGGCACAATTCATGACTATGTGCACCTGAATTCAGCTTCTCAACAACTATTCAATGATGCCACAGTGAATTCCTTTAGTTAGGCTTCAAAGAAAAGAGCTCATAAATAATTGTTTAAATTGGAGAAGATACTAACTTTGGTTACATCATGAAGCCTCATTGGAGCCAAGGTTAACTATTACATCACGTTTCACAGCTTTCTATTGCCATTACATTCTTGTTACTGATGACATCATAATAATTCCTTAGTTCCATGGAGGAGAATCGCTAAATCTTATTATAAAAATTACTGGGTACCTCTTCTCTAGAATTTATCTCCCAGATATGGGGAGATTCTTTGATAAAATTAAATTTCAAATTAAAATCGAATCTAAAGTACTTCAGAGTTCCTTTCAAAATTTTCTCCACGTTGAAAGTATTTGATTATGTTAAAAGTGTAATGCACTATTAAGCACAATAAATACGAAAACTATAGATCATTACTGTCCCCAAGCAGCTTGAAATATATGCAGGTGTTATTAATCTATTAGTTGGCCCTGTAGCAGGCATTATGATAGCACTGTGAGTACAGTACTATTTTTTAAGCCCACCATTTGTAATTGATTACATGGACCATCTGTAACTGCTTGTGAATCATGTTAGTTACCCCACTGACATTTACCGAACATTTGTCACGTAGCAAAATGTTTAGTGTAGAAAAGTTGACACATAATAGCTTTGAGGTTTCACTAAATCAACTTTAGACACTACATTATTGATATAACCCGTGGATGTGTAGTCTCCAGAAAAACAAGGTTCATGATTTGATTAAAGGAAAAACAAAATACCGCCTCACCCCAAGCTTCCTGTGGGTAGACAAAATGATCTTTTGTGACCGGCGAGGTGACTTGGCTCCACCATTTGTTCCCGCGGAACTATTTGTAAGAAAAGAAAGGGTGAAAGATTCAGCAGAAAATGAAGTGCAGTCGGTGGCAGGGGACTCGCCTGTGTGTGGCGGGGGTACCCGGAATCTCTTTCAAGGTTGTGGTTCGCCGGGTCAGGGCAGACCTGAGCTCTTCTACTGAACATGTCTGTGCCACCTGTCAGACAGGAGGAGCCTCCGGGAATTGAGACTGGGCAGGAGAGCAGCATGCCAGGAGCCCCGGGTCTCGGAAGAAGAATGCGGGGAAGCAGATCTTTGCTGGCTAGGAGCTCGGGGTTAAGAGTTGAGAAGGGTGGGCTAGACCCTGAGGCAACTTCACGTGGTCACCAGAACTCCTCTAGGGGACCAGGGTGGGGGCAGGAGACGCTACCGCGTGCTCCTCCCCTGGGCCTTTCAGCTCCTCCTTTCAGACACGTGACAGCAACCGGCTGATCTCCGCGCTCACCGAGCCTAGATCGCTCTGTTTCTTTCCTCCCGCCGCTGTGCCCTTCTTCTCCCCAAGTCTCATCCCTCCGCCCTCCCCCACCTCCTCCCCATGCCCCAATCATGGCTCGAGTTTTGAAGCACCCGCCCCTCCGCCCTTTTCTTCGCTTGCTCATTGGCTGAGGCCTCAAGGACGCGTCCCGAGGGCGGGTGGCAGCCATTGGTGGGATGAGCAATCCGAGTTCCCGGATGAGGGAACATTCTGCAGTATAAAGGGAGCGGGGAAGGCGGGAGACAGCGCAGTTTGAATCGCGGTGCGACGAAGGAGTAGGTGGTGGGATCTCGCTGTGTGTCTGACTAGCCTTTTCTCGCCTATTCTCTGCCTTGCTTGTCTGAGCTTCAGCAGAATTTGAGATGGTAAACTTCGAAGAGACGCTCGATGACTCCGCGGCTTTTTGACGGCGGGGGAAAAACCCGTTACACACGGGGATGGGAATGAAGTGGCGACGGTTGGGAACGCGCGGAGACAGGATTTGGAAGTGCGGGGGGAGGTGTTTTGTCGGCTGCAAGCGGAGCAGCCCCCGATCTCGCGGCGGGCGGCGACGGTTGGGGTTGGGTGGCGCGCGCAGCGCCGCTGGGGGCCAGCGGGCGGAGGCGCGCGGCCGCGGCGGGCGCGCGGCGGGGGGCAGCGGGCGGGGTCGCCGTTGCACTGCGCGGCGGGCCAGAGACCCCGGCGGGGCGCGGGGACGCGCTCGCGCCCGGGACGCGCGGTGGGGGAGGGGCGCACCGCCCTGGTAATTCTATATTCTCCGTTCCTCCTCCGCTCGCGGGCGTCTGCGCGCTCCAGGCTGGTGGTAAGGCTGGGAAGGACTCCGGAAAGGCCAAGACAAAGGCGGTTTCCCGCTCGCAGAGAGCCGGCTTGCAGGTCAGTAGTTTGTGCAGTGTGACTGCCATGGCTTTTTCTTTGCACCTCCTTTCTTGTTTATCATTGCTCTGGATGGGCGTTTCATCTTTGCGTGGGTGATGGGGTGTCGCGACTTAAGCTTGCGGATACGATAAATATGGGGGGGGGCATCGATCACGTGTGTAGGTGCCAGGGCGCGTTGCTGCACCAGTGTCCGTGCCCCTTGCTTTGGCGCGCGTGTAATTTGCCCGTATTTGACTCATTATCTTTATGCATTTGTTTGTGTGCTTAAAATTAAGTTCCCTGTGGGCCGTATTCATCGACACCTGAAATCTAGGACAACCAGCCATGGACGTGTGGGCGCGACTGCCGCTGTGTATAGCGCAGCCATCCTGGAGTACCTCACCGCAGAGGTAAATGGGTGTACGCCTGTAATCTGGAAAAGGTTTAGGGGGCGGGGGAAAGCAGCGTGAGGGAAGGAGGAAAGTGATGCAAGAAAACTCCCAGGCCCTAAGCGCGGCGAGAAACCAAAGAGAACGCTAGAGGGAGCTGGTGCTTAATAAGGATCCTACTGAGCTTGAGTTTGCTGCTCTTGGAAATATAATTGCGTGCCCTTAGCTTTTGCATATCTTGCCATTCAGGCTATTTGGGGGAGGCTTCGAAAATTTGGTAGATTTCCGCTCGTTAAGATTTTGATACTGCTTTATGGATCTTAGCTGAGGAAAGTTGGAAGATTGATTAGATTCTGCCTTCTAGGTACTTGAACTGGCAGGAAATGCATCAAAAGACTTAAAGGTAAAGCGTATCACCCCTCGTCACTTGCAACTTGCTATTCGTGGAGATGAAGAATTGGACTCTCTCATCAAGGCTACAATTGCTGGTGGTGGTATGTAATTCAAATTTTTAAGTAAACTTAGAAAAGGAAAGAATTTTTAGCTTTAATAATGGATTGTAGTCTGGAAGAGGATGTTAAGTATATTTTTATTGATGCAGTATGGTTTGAGTTTTTTTGTATAACTCAATATTTGAACTTTTAAGTTTTTAATGACTACCAATTGAGCAGTCAACTGCCTTGGTTTCAAATACTGTCATTCAAAAAATATACTGACAGAAGAATTAATCCATGTCACTCTCCTAGGTGTCATCCCTCATATCCACAAATCTCTGATTGGGAAGAAAGGACAACAGAAGACTGTTTAAAGGATGCCTGGATTCCTTATTATCTCAGGACTCTAATACTCTTAACAGCTGTCCAGTGTTGGTGATTCCAGTGGACTGTATCTCTGTGAAAAAAAACCACAATTTTGCCTTTTTGTAATTCTATTTGAGCAAGTTGGAAGTTTAATTAGCTTTCCAACCAACCAAATTTCTGCATTCGAGTCTTAACCATATTTAAGTGTTACTGTGGCTTCAAAGAAGCTATTGATTCTGAAGTAGTGGGTTTTGATTGAGTTGACTGTTTTTAAAAAACTGTTTGGATTTTAATTGTGATGCAGAAGTTATAGTAACAAACATTTGGTTTTGTACAGACATTATTTCCACTCTGGTGGATAAGTTCAATAAAGGTCATATCCCAAACTAGTTGTTCTAAAATTGTTTGATTGTAATAAAAATGGTTCTTTGGAACATCTCATACAGCAATAATCAAGCACATTTTTTTCCTTTAGGAATTAAACAGTTATTCTCTAGATCACCAAAGTCAGGTAACCAACTATATATATATATATATATATATATATATTTTTACATTATATAATGAACTCTTAAAAGATTTTAGAAGTTTGGCAGGAACTGGAGAGGGATAATTGCTCTTTCTTGCACTGTTTGTTGCCTTGCCTGTGCTTGTCAGTATGTGACAGCACTACATCAGTGCACAATTAACTGATGGACTTGGGTAGGTGGGGAAGTTATCTGCATAGCTACTTCCACATTAAGAACTTTTCAGTTTAGGATAGGTAGAATTACTGCTTTCTGGGTGCCAGGCACTGTTTTGAAGTCTGAAAGTTAATCAGTCATAACTTTGGGAATATACTCATTTTTATTTTTTTATAGATAATGAGAATTCCTTTGTAAGTAGTAAGGATAGTAGTTGATGCTGCTAACAATAGCTCGACCCACTCAACATGTAAAAATTGTGGTTGAGTTGCAGTGGATCTTTAACGTTTTGATACAAGTTCTGAAAAAAAAAATTTTAAACTTTAAATGTGGACATTGCCAAACATTCTAAGTGGTCCTTTTCCCATCACTGAGATCAACAGGACATGGTACTTCCTAGAGGTAATGTTATAAAAATGGAAAAGGAAGTATTAATAGGTGAAAGAGCTGGTCCTTTTTATCTTGGCCTAGGATTACCGCTGCTTGGATCTGCTTTCACCAGAATAATTGCAAATTCCAGATTAAATTTGTATCTTTTGGAAAACTACAGAGGTACAGTCTGGAATGAGGCAGTAAAGGAAGCCCCAGGGTTAGGGTCCAACGACGCTCTGACGTGCCGGAAATGCCAAGTGTGGGACTGACACGGTGATCCTCACCTGACCTAATCCTCCCACGGACGAGGGGCCCAGAGGCGGGGCCTCGCTCCCTGGGAATTTTTTGAGTCTCCTCCCCTACCCCGCCGTCCCGGCCGCACGCAGGGCGGGCTCCTATTTACGCCGGCCGCGCCCGGAGGTCAAGGGGCACGGCGCTCTCGATGCCGGCGGCCACGTCCCCACCCCTCTCCGCGTGGGGCTGCTGTCGCCCGCGGGCTGTGGTGGGCTCCTTGGCTCTGAACGAGTCGGCTCTTTCTATCGGCCGCCACGTGGGCTGGGACACCCAGGCCCAGGAGATCAGTCCGGGGCTGGAGAAGATGCGGCTCGCGCCGTAGCGGCCCGCGGGGGGCGGGGAGGCCGCTGTGAGGAGGCGGAGCTGCGAGGCCCGCCCGTGCGCCCGGGCCGCCGCCGCCACGGTCCCCTGTGCTCCTCCCCGTTCGCCGCCGCACGCCCCCACCCGGGCTGGCCTCGCCTCCTCGGCGGCGGCGGCGGCGGCTTCCCCGTCGTAGCTGTTCTTCCCGAGGAAAGGGAACCAGGCGCAAGCCATGGAGGGGAACCGGGATGAGGCAGAGAAATGTGTTGAGATCGCCCGGGAGGCCCTGAATGCCGGCAACCGCGAGAAGGCCCAGCGCTTCCTTCAGAAGGCCGAGAAGCTCTACCCTCTGCCCTCGGCCCGCGGTGAGACCTCAGTGCCCCTCCTCTCCTGCCTTGGGGCCTGGCCGTCGCGCAGCTCACCCCCACCCCACCGCGCCTGCGGGAGCTGGCGGGGCCCGGGCCTGCCAGCCGCCGTGGGGTCCTGGGGAAGAGCAGGCCGGCGGTCCGGCTGTCGCCAGGCCCGGGCCCGCCTGGAAATAGGCTGTCCGAGACTCCCTCTGCACCAGCCTGCCTGCGGGTCGCCGCCGCTCTGCTGACCGCAAGAGTTGTAGGCTCCCCGAACCGTTTTCGAAAATGCCCAGTCCTCATTCCCCCAGGAGGAGACTGGTCCAGTCTTACCGTAGGGCAGTTTTATATGGGTGTTTGATTATGTGGTCCCCTCTCTCCCAAATAAGGCCTAGTCCCCTAATGAAGTGAGAGGATCAAGGAACTCTGATGGCTAATCTCAGATTTCACCATCTTCTGGGCTTTGTAGAAAGCTGTCTCCATAACAAACATCTTCGAATACCTGAGATGACATTGCTTTTCCCTGGGAGAGACGGATTCTTTAAAAGAGAGGAGCATACACTTTGAAAGATTGATCAAGAGTCAGCAATGATTTGCTAAATAGCATCTGACTTGATAATACCATAATTTCGACAAAATAGATTAATCTTTAAGTAACAGTGTACTTAAGTTGAAATTATCCTATTAATTGTCCTACTCTCTAGACTTCAAAGTTACACACACACACAAAGTTACAGAGTGCCAATAATTGTGCCTGGCATGTTTATGTAATTATTTACTCCTTAGAACAGTCCTATACATAAGTACAGGAGTCATTTTCCCAGGTTTATTACCCATATGAAAATATTTTTGGTAAACGAACGAATGAGTGAATGAATGAAAGTATCTTACCAAGGTCACACAACACTTAGTAGCAAAGTCAGAATAGTAGCTGAGCTTTGGGATTCCAAAAGGCCTTTAACCACTACCCTTTATTGCCTTACTCACTGGATAATATTTTGGTTGAGGTTCAAAATATTTCCAGGTTAAGAACAAAATTACTGATAAGAAGAATGTGGGACTACCTATTTTATTGGTTTGTTACTTTCTACATTGTTGAAACACTTGTGCTCTTTGCTTTTCTCTCTATCCTTTGCATTAACATTATAATTGAACTCTTATCAGAGAATACAGGAGGTGAAGAAAAAGAAAGGAGCTTTTTTTAAATTTTAAAAACAAAATTTACCATCTTACCCATTTTTGGTGTACGAGTTAGTAGCATCAAACATATGCGCGTTGTGTAAAGGATCTTCTGAACTTTTTCATCTTATAACAACAACACAGTTGTTGCTTTTAAAGACCATAACCATTGGGAAAATTAAGATATATAAGTGTGAAAGTCAGTGATACCAATGTACTATAAGGGCATTTTGTAATTATCTAGTAAAGTTGATAGGGTATGATATTGGGGTAGTTGAAAACCTTAGTTGAGATGCAGACTGTGTCTCTAACATCTTGTAACTGGAGACAAGGTTCTTAGCTTTCTTTATATATGAAATGTCATCACAGGGTTGATGTGAGCTGGAATAAAGTTATGTACAAGTACTTATAAAAGTATTTTATGTCAAATATTCTCAGAAGATATTTTTTGGAATAATTTAAGAATTCAGGACAGGGAAAGATCTAGAACATTTGTGGAAGACCCTGATAAAAAAAATTTAGTGTAGAAGAAAACTAGAGCTGTTGGTTATGAGATTTTAAATGTTATCCCTGATATTACCTATTTTAGACTACCATAAAACTCTTGTATTTCAGAAAATTGAATCGTTGGGGCTGGGATTGTGGTTCAGGAGTAGAGGGTTCGCCTAAAACATGTGAGGTACTGTGTTCAATCCTCAGCACCAAATAAATATAAAGGTATTATGTCCACCTACAACTTTTTAAAAAATAAATATTAAAAAAAAAATCGGAAGGCTGAGACAGGAGAATCATGAGTTCAAAGCCAGCCTCAGCAATGGTGAGGCACTAAGCAACTCAGTGAGACCCTGTCTCTAAATAAAAATATACAAAATAGGGCTGGGGATGTGGCTCAGTGGTCAAGTGCTCCTGAGTTCAATCCCCACTACCCCTCCCTCCCCCCAAAAAAGTTCACTTCTGGATGTACCTGTACTAAGGCAAAAGAAAGTATTTACTATGGTTTCTGCTATTCTTATAGTTCAGTAAATGGAAAAACTTGCAACTGAGTACTAATAAATTGCAGGATTTTTATCCTTTTAAAATTTTTTTCTTGTCAGGTAACAAGTCTGATTAATAAAACGCTTCAAAAAATTGGTAAGAGTTTTCCTTGAGGAAAAACTTGATCTCCAAAGGGATCTAGGACATTGTTGCTCTCAATGTTTTTATTTGACAGTATTATTGTACAGTGTACTTGTTGCAGTGAACTTCTTGAATTGTACAACTTTTAAATATTTTTATACAATGAGTTGAGTTTAGGTTTGGGAGTGTTAATATACATGAATAGCTACCACACAGGATAAATAAATTTCTGGAAAAATAATCTCAGTAGGCAGAAAAGTAAGTTACATTTTGGTTTCTTAGATTGTATGTTTATTGAATTATTGATATGTTTTGGACTTTGGTAAAGGTTTATAGTTTCACTGTTTTACATTGCTATTTTAATATTTGAGTCTTTCATAGGGGGACAGATTATAGATTATTTTTTAAAAAGGAAAACATTTTTATTGTTTATTGAATCAAATGGTGGCCTATAGCTTCATAAAAGACCATTCTGCATCTACTTTAATGAATAGGTAAGTTTAATGAATGGATTATCTATAATTTTCAGCATCTGTCTGCACTGTAGCAATTAAAGTAATCCCTTCCTCCCCTCATGTGAGAGATAACATGTAAATTTTTCCTCCTTTATTTTTTGCTATATTATTTTAAAATTTTATCTAATAAAAATGAAAATTTCTCTCCCTTTTTGTCTCATAGTAATAAGCAAAGCACTTTAAGCATACATCTGGAATATTTCCAACCTATTCTTTTTATAATAATTGCATTTTATTTCTATTTGACTTAATTAAAACTTATTAGTACAGATTATCTATTCTAAAGTTATTTCTGTATGATGAAATTAAGTGTTAAAAAATTATTTCCAAATTTCATCTAGTAGTCAAAACTATTTTACACATTAGAGTTGAAAGAAGAATACTGAGTTTGGGTTTGAACCTTAATTATTAAGTAGTGTGATTTTGGGTAGGTCATTTAATCTTCTTGAACTTACTTCCTTCATCTATAAAATGGAGATTATTTTTGAATATATATTTTTCTGTGCTGGGCAGTATTCTAGGAACTAGGGATTCAGTGCATAATAAGACAAAAGTTCTTGTTTTCTTGGAGTTTATATTCTAGAGGAAATGTTAAGTATCTACTGGGCATAATAATGATTTGGTTACTGTCATTTCCTCCTTCCTTTCCTGAGCCTCAGTTTTCACAGGGTTATTGTAAGGATATTTTATTATCTTAATTACAATAAGAATGTCACGTATTATTATATGGCAAAAAATAAAAACACCCTGCATGATGCTTTGCAGTTCACAGTGTATTTGTCTCATGCCATTTTTTTAGTACTTATTTGAGGACAAAATAATTCCTTTAAATTAGGATTAATTTAAGTTGGGATTTGAACTCCATATTTTATGCTTTACTTAGCATTTAGTTCTGCCATGCAGTATTTCATTTCTTTGTTTTTTGTTTTTGCTTTTTTTTTTTTTTTTCCCTGTGCTAGGGATCAAACCCAGGGCCCTAAATCATATGAAAAACAAATGCTCTGTCAGAGCTACATCCCTAGCCCTCATTTCTTTATTGTTTGTATAAAATCTCTCCCTCTTTTAGATTAAAAATTCCTTAGAAGTCTTGAGCCATTTTAACTTTTGTCATTCGTTTTACTACCATAATACCTAATGCTGTTTTACATATACTTATGGCATGTACAGGTCTCTGGAATGATATTTATTTATAAAATTTTACAATTCTCAATAAAGAGGATTTGTTAAATAACTAAATAAGAGTTTTATAACTGCATGATATTCCATGTTAACACTTTCACAAATGAAGCTTTTCAATAACACACTAAGTGTTTAAAATACAGATTTAAGGGTTATGATGAGCAAAAATTTGGGACGAATATAAATGTCCATCAGTGGGAATTGACAAAATAAGTTTCACTGCACTTATATACTATTTACCTATTAAAAATGCTGAGGACTATATTTATTGCTATAAAAGAATATCCACAGTATATCAACAATAGAATAAAGTTAAGCTACAGATGCATTTTTTTTTCCTTTGAAATTGTCTGTAAAGCTGAGTGGCCAGCCAATGAGAGTGACTAGAGTTAAAAATATGAAAATAGTATGTTTTTTTTTCTTCTTGTGTGGGATTTTTAAGTAATGTTTACTACTACTACTTTTTTTTTTTTTTTTTTTTTTTTTTTAATGAACCAAGCATATGTATTAATTAAATGCAGGTTATGTTAAAATCTCAGTGTATCTGGAAGGTAAATGCAAAAAATGAACTCAGAGAGTTTTAAAACCAAAAAGTAAATGAACTTTGTTTTATAAGTAGTTTGCACAACTGTTGTTTATGATATTGTACATTACTGCAAATGAGATTTCATGTGACTGATGACATTACATAAATCAGAAAAATCCAGTGTGTTCTAAATTCTGGCAGTATATTAGAAGAATCATGTTATTTTTTTCAGGCATTCATTTCAGTAATTGTTAATACAGAAAACTCTGATTTCACTTTTTATAAGGTGAAACTGGGTTTTGAAGCTCACAAATAATATCAGTTGTTGAGAGTTTTACTAAAAGAGTTTAGTGTAAACTAATGTGTGTAAACAGCTATTGTTAGGCAGAGACTCTGTGTAGAAAATTGTACAAAATTTTCAGTGTCATAATAACTCCTGAAAATGTGAAACAACTGCATGATCCTGCTTTAGTAATATCCAGAATGCAGCTATTAGTACAGAT